GCAGGAAGCTGGTGACATCTTTCTGATGCCCCAGTTGCCACGATTTAAATCGCGGCACAGCATGCCCGCACAACTGACCCCCAGGATAACCATCGCCATGTGCAAAATCCTTGCACTGGATGGTTCCTGGTACATTGGGCTTAGCCGTTCCACCTCCAGAATGGGGTGTGCGGCTCCGCTCTGTGCTCCCCCTGGCCTCCCCCCCGGCGGTGCGGTGGGTCAGGCTCACTCTCTCTGCCCTGGCCTTTGCCCTCCCCCCGTTGGTGCGGTGGGTCCGGCTCGCGGTCTCGTTCCCCCCGGTAGCGCGGTGGGTCGGGCTCTCGGTCTCTGCCCCCCCGTTTGTGCGGTGGGTCGGGCTCCCTGTCCCTGTACCCCCGATAGTGCGGTGGGTCGGGCTCTCTGTCCCTGTACCCCCGGTGGTGCGGTGGGTCTGGCTCACGGCCCCATTCTCCCCGATATCTCGGTGGGTCCGGCTCTCTGGCTTTGCCCTGGCCTTTGGCGGGCTCGCCTTTGCCTTTGGCCTTGCCGCCAGGGTTCCAGAGGCCTAAGGCCTTGAGCCTGTCCCGGTCTTTCTTGGACGGCCGCCGAACATGGCCATCGGGCGGCGGATCCCTTTTACCTTTACCTGGGGCTCCCATCTTGGACCTGTGGCCGCGCTAGGGAACGGGCTTTGCGAAAAACTGCTTCACAGAAGGGGTACCAGCAGCTGCAAGTGTGTCACGTGCCGCACGCTTACGCTGCAAACCATGCTTACCATGTGCACAAAAGCGTTCAAGAACTGCAGGTGTGAGGCCTCCAACTGGTTGCACACAATGACACTGAGAGCACTTCCACCTACAACCTTCATTGCACATGGCATGCGAATCATGCCACTTCCACTCCGAAGAAGGAACACTGAGGGGGTGGTTCTTGCAAAAGTTGGCAACTTTCCTATTGAAATTGGGCTTGGTATCGGCCTGTTGAATCCACAAGCCACACTCCTCGCACTTGATCTGCAGGTTGTTTGCAGCCGTGCCACCCTTGACGAACCTGTGCCCCTTAGTGTCGATTTGGCCTGCCACCAAAGCCAACAAGATTTGCCTCTTATTGGCCTCAGGCGGCAGCTGGGCGGGAGGAAGGTCCGCGACCCCTGCTTCGCCGCATCTGCTCTCCGTTGCCATCTTTGGCATCTCTCCCTTTGCTGCGGGTTGGGGTTTGTTGGGCCCCCCCTCTGGCCTTGAACTGGCCGTCGGCGGCCCTTGGGGGAAGAGCCGGCCTGCCGCGTCAGCTTCACCGCCGGATTGCTCTGGAGCCCCTGTGGGCGTGGATGTTTCCGCGGCGGGCTGGGCCTGCTTGCCTTTCTCCCCCCCGTGGGCCGGTGGGGTTTTGCCTTTCTTGGTCCGTCTTTTCTTTTGAAACGAAGACCTGCTGGTCGAAGGGCTGGACGATTCTGCCGATTTTTCCTCGCCCGTCTTCCTGGGGTACACAACCTGTGGGCCTTGATCTTTGTCATACCCCATCAATGCTTGCATGCGCCTTCCCAGGAAGAGTGCAACCGACTCTGCCAGCGCATCAGATTGCTTGAGGGCAGTGACTCGGTCTTTCGCCTCTTTTGTGTTTGCTCTCGCCCCAACGAGGCGATCGACTTCATCATTGATGACTCTACGCCATTCTTGGCCCGGCCCGACTTGCTCCAAAAATTCGGAAGCTGTAAGGTGAGAGGGGACCCAATGCAGATCCAGCTGTTCCGTGGGGGCCGTTCCAAAGATGTCAAGATGGCGGCCTTTAGTTGTGGTGCCGCGGCGGCTTCTCGCCACCGCGCCTTTGCAATCACTTGTGACATCTGCCCCGGCCTGGAGCTGCTGCGCCGCAAAATGAATGGCCCTGGCCTCCCCACGGTAAACGCTTTGCTCATTCTTGAGCAGTCCCGTGGCTGAGCCAATCCAGTGGGGTTGGCCTTCCTTCCAAATGTAGAAGGTAGCACCCCATACCACTTGTCGCGTTCTCTGGTCGTTTTCAGACCCCCCTGTTGCATCCGTGGCCGCGAAGGCTTTGGGTGGGACGGACCCCCCTTCTGCCAAAACGCCTTTTAGCTCAATGGCCTCCTCTTGAGCATGTTGGCATTCCGGCCAGGAAGGGTCCCTTGGGAGAAGCCCAAAGTCCCAAAGGCAATCTGGATAGTTTGGGTCCTCTCTGGAGGGCCACCATGCCGGTTCGGGCTCACCATGCTCTTTCCACCATTGGCAGTCCCACAAAACATGCCTTCTGGTGGCCGGCACTCCACATCTTTGGCAGGTGGCATGCGGTGACGCCCTGACCGCTCCTTGCCAAATGGACTTCAAGGCTTTTCCTGTGAGGCTGTCCGCCTTCTTCAGGATTTTCCTTGGCATGGTCCAATCCGGGCCTGTTTCAAGGCCTCGACCCCCATCGATCTCTGCCCAGGATTGGTGCCGGGTGGCATTAACCCATCTTTTGGCAAGGAAAAGGACCTCATGGAACTCAGCTGCCTGCAGGATGTCATAGGTTTTGGGCCCGATTGTCCACTGGTGAACACTGAGCGGCTTCCACCCCATTTCATCCAAGTAGCACCAACAGGCACCAAGCGGTCCAGCCGCCCTTTTCCAGGGGTGCTCAGCCTCTTTTAGCCACACCTCCAAGCGGTTCCAGCCTTGCTGGATTCTGTCGAAGTCCTGTTCCGGCCACTGCAGCAATAGCCGGCGAACTGCCTTGAAATGCTGGGCCAGGATTGTGTACCAAGGGTCCTCGACCTTGTTGCCATGGAAGTCCAGGGTGGCTCCGATGCTGGCATTGTTTGGTCGGCCCAGCACTTGTGCCAGAAGCCCCCTGAACCACTTCCGTCTCTTGGGGGCAACACCAACGCCTTCATGCCCATACAGGGCCGAGGAAAGGATGGATCCTTTGTAGAGCCGCACCTTGATGCCAACTTTGCCGATTTTCAAAGATTGGAGCTGGGCTGCCCTGCGGGCCCCTTTTTGGTGTCTGGCTTTAGTGGTGGTGATCCTGCGCCTGGCACCGGCTGCAGAATCCAGGCCCAGGTCCTTGCCAACTCCAACAACCTTGGGACCATCAGGCCCAGCCAGGGCCTCTACTGCCTTGCCAGCAGCTTGACTGGAGCACACAAAGACCGTCTTTTTGGTGGAGACTTGCAGGCTTTGCGCCTCCAGGTCCTGCTTGAGCTCCTTGTAACAGGCAAAAGCTGCCGCAGCAGTCCTTTGCACATTTTGATCGACGGTATCGACCGAACAGTCATCTATCCACAGATCGACGTGGTCCGTGGTGCTGCGCTGGGAGGCCTTGGCGACCGGCTCATGGAGGATCACTCGCGAAAGAGCCGGAGCGAGCGGGCAGCCCGCTATGAGGCCCCTGCTTCCGCAGATGGGCCTTGAAAGGGCGCCTTGGGATTCAATGTACCGTGGGCCCTCGTAGCAGCTGAGGGCTCTTTCCAAAAGCATCTCCGGGAAGTGGTGGACCACCCCTTTTTCTAACAGCACCTGGTGTGGTACTGTTTCGTAAAAGGACGTTAAGTCCAACAGCAAGGTGATGGTGATTTTCCCGGCCCGCTTGTTGAGTTCAGCGCGGAGGATGCGTCTCAACGCTGTGTCCAGGGAGCTGTTGCCCGCCTTGGCCTGGTTCCAAGGCGAGGTCAGGTCGTACGATGCCTCCCATTCTCGGACCATGTCCCATCGCATCTTGCAATAGACCCGGTGCAATACATGCGTGAGGCCGATGGGCCTCTCCGCCTCTCGACTCTTGGCTAGCATGGCATACTGAGTGATATCAATATGCTGAGGAAAGGAGCCGGACAGCTCCCATCCTCTGAGCTGGGCCGCCAACTCAGCGACGGCATCCTCGGGCAAGGCCCTGAGCATTTCGTAACTCCAACCATCCGGCCCTGGGGCCTTGGTGGGGAGTCTGGCAAAGGCCTTTGCCATGGCCTCTTTGGTTAGGGCCACTGTGCTCTGAGCCTGTTCACGTGCCTTTTGCTGGAGCCTCGTTCTGGCTTCCGTTCCTCGCAGCGGTCGCCGAGCAGAGAGGGGCCAGTCCTAGCTTCCCGAACCCCTCGGGGGTCTCAGGTGACGAAGCGACGGACTCTCCAAGCTCGTCTCCTCGCCGGCCGGCTAGAGGTCCGGCTCCAGCTGAGGCTCGTCAAGAGCCGGCCCACGTGCAGGTCTTCAGCGAGAACTTCCTCCGCTGTTTTGCATGCGGCGTTACTACTTCCAATCAACAACTGATGGAAGCCCATGCAATGACCTCCAGGCACGTCCGCCTTACCACGGCCTATGTGGCCAAGCGAAGGCGCGAGCTGGCAGCTGCCCAGGCTGCCCAGCCTTCCGTGCCGTAGGCCCCGAGCCTTGGCACTCGTCTCCCCAGGCACACCTCAGGCTCCTTCCTCGCCCTTTGGCTGAGGTTTGAGTTTCAGCGGTGCTTGGAGGGCACCGGGCACTCCTTGGTCCTTTCCTCGCCTGTTCGGCTGAGGTCTGCTTCTGAGGCAGCCTGCCCGGGCTCCGGTAGAACCCCGCCTGTACAGACTTTGGTAGGGCCTACCCCTCGTCTGAAAACGACTGAGGTTGGCGGGTGTAACTAGCCACCTGTAGTCCAGGACGTAGGGCCGCCCTTGCCCAAAGTGGCTGAGGTTTCTCACCAGAATGCATGCTGAATTCATCTTCGGACACGTCTACGACGGCTTGCAGCTCGGCGACGAAAAGTTTGCTCCTGGCTCAAGTTTTCGGCTCAGACGTTGCAGTGCCGTCGTGGCCAGCCTTGGGGCCTACTTTTCTAGAGGTTCCAAAGAGGCCCCAAACCCAACCTGGTAAAGGTCGTAGGCCTGACAGCAGGCAAGGGTTTGGTGGGCGGCCCGGTAGGCTGTTCACTGCACGATCTGAGTGAGGTCGATCCTCCTCTTGCCGAGTGCACTTCTAGAGCTTGGAAGTGGGCACCACTCCTTGCTTGTTTCCTGCAGCCACTACTTCTGGTAGTGGTTTCCACACCAGCTTGCAGCCATGCCGCGCACTCCCAAGTGGATCCCGTGTGCCTGTGGGTACCACTGGGCCTGGAAACGCCAGGTCGAGTCAGGGGAAAATACCCACTGTGCGTACTGCGGCAGAAACTGGCAGAAGCAGCTGAACAAGCAGCAAGCAAGCAAGGAAGCCCGTGCCGAGCAATCCCAGAGCCCCCGCGCTGTCTGGGAGGACGGTCGCACCAAAGGCAAGGGTAAAGGAGAAGGCAAGGGTTCCAAGAACCCTCCAGGTGGCAAAGTCGGTGCGGTACTTGCGGGTCTTTGGAAAGACCTCCCTGAGGCTGCCCAGAAAGCCTTCCAGGAGGTCGGGTACAGCCCACCTCGGCCGAAAGGGCCACCGCCTCCCCCGCCAGGACTGGACCTCCAGTCCCTCCTTAAGGGTAGGATGACCGAGAAGGAGTACAACGCTGCCAGGGCCGTGGTCTACGCGGGGGCAGGGCTCCACGTCCAGACCCTTTTGGAGGCCGCGGGAATCCCCCCTCCACCAGATGAGGACCTCGACCAGCCAGAACCCACGCCCCAGGAGAAGCTGACCAGGTGTGTCAGCGACTTCAAGAAGGCCACCAACCAGATGAAGAATCTGGTAGAGAAAAAGGCCAAGCTCCAGGCACGAGCGGACAAGCTCAAGCAGGAGCTGGAAAAGCTTATTGGGGACGTGGACCAGGTTGACAAGGACATCAAGGCCAAGGATGTTGAGATCCAGGAGACGGCCAAGGCTTTCAAAGAGATGACGGCGGACTCCACCAGCACCGCTTTCAGCGCCCTAGAGGCGGTTCTCTCGGAGGCCGGCCACGAGCTCAACGAGGCCACCCGGGCCAAGATGAAGGCAGCCCTGGTCGGGAAGGAGGACCTCCCCCCGGATCCCTTCATTGTGAATTTCAGAGGGCATGATGAGTACTTCCCTCGGGAGATGCCCCCCATGTACGGCCCTGCCCGCACCGACCCGCATGGGAAGCGTCCCACACCTTTGGAAGGGACGAAGCCAGAGGGAGCCGCAGGCAGCGACAACCCCGAATAGGGGCGCCCAGGCCAGGGGAACCCTGCCTTCCCCCTGGCCCTTCCTGGGCCACGGGCCCCCAGGCAGATTTTGCAAGGGCAGCCGCCCAACCAGGCCCTTCTCCGCTCGTCGTTGGAGGTTTTGCAGGCCTTTTCCAGCAATCAACTTGCTCTTTTACCGAGGGGGAGTGGTCTGCCACCCTACCTTGGCCAGGTGTCACACCAGAGTAGAGTTTTTTGCAAGTTTTGCAAGTTTGATCTGCACGATCTAGGCAGCACTCACCTGTTCTGCGCGCAGTGCAAAATCTTTCATAAAACCCCGGCGGCGCTGCGTTGGGAGTCAACGCCTGCCCGAGGCTTCATTGCGCCCTACCAGCCTCTTCCCTCGAGGCCTGGGCATGGCTTTTTGATTAGGGGTCGTGGGTCAACCACCCCCTTTTCTTCAACCCTGGCGCCGCAGGGTGTCCTCACGCCAACGTGTTCGGACAACCAGAGCGCCCAGGATTTCCCCAGACTCTCTGGGCCACAATTTTTTCCAACTGGTTGGGCCCTGGACCCTGAACAGGAGCCTCCCGCCCCAAGTGGTACCTTGGAGGTGCTGCCAAGGGGCATCGAGGCCCCCATGGGTTCGGGGTTGACCCCACCTTCCTCCCTCCAGGCTTGTGCTATGCTTGGCCAAGGCTCTGGACATCTGCCCGTCGCGCGAGGCTCACAGCGCGGCTCACGGCCTACGTCGGCGGCGTAAAGCGCAGCATGACTTCCTCTGGGAGTCCACTCGAAAACATCGCGCTGCCCACCGGGCCAGGATGCAGCGACAGGCCAACTCTCTTTTCTGGCACTCCTGGCATCCTGGGCTCGAGCCCTCCAGTGGCAGTCCGAAGGAACAGGGGTCCACCTCGCCTCCTTCCCCCCCCTGTGGCCCTGGGCGGCGGCCCCCTACCCCCTGGTCGGTCTCCTCCAAGACTAAGGAAGCGACGGCCTGGCTCCCGGGGGAATGTGGGCAAGCCCCTCCCAAGCCTCAAGCCTGAGGCAAATACAGTTCAGGCCCTTGCTGCAGGGCTTGCGGATGAGCTCAGGGTGAACCAAGACTGGAGCAAATCGGAACCCCAGGCGCTGGCCCTTGCTGAGGCCTTGGAAGGCACTGACGAGGCCAGCTTGGGCTACCGGGTCTCCTACGAGATCCTCGAGGCCATGCAAGGCCACTCATGGTTGGACCCCATCACCGCCGCGGCTTTCCTGGACGACCTTGCGACCCAGGAGCACCAGCGGTGCCAGGAGTCCGTTGTGTTTGTTAGTGCCAACATCACAGCGTGGACTCCGGATATCCTCAAATGGCACCAGCCGCAAAAAGGGCCCCTTCTCATCCAGGAGCTGCACTTGGGAGATGAAGGTGCCAAAAAACTGCGCACTGAGGCTTTAGCCAGAGGGTACCATACTTTCCTCCCCCCGGTTGAGGGCCCCAGACCCACGAAAGGGGGACTGGCCACACTTGTGCCCATCCATCAACAGGGCCGTTTCAGAGGAGGTTACCTCTCTGACGAAGGGATCGGCTTCTTGCTGGTCGAACTTCCCAGGGTTCGCCATTCCCTCCTTTTGGTCAACCTGTACTTGAAATCAGGTGTTGGCATCACTGGGGCGCCCAACCCGGAAGTCCTCGCACGTTTGAAGCCCCTCCTGCGCCAAACTTCCAACTGGATTGTGGTTGGGGACTGGAATTTCCCCTCTCTCGACTACGCCCTGGTCTCCACCAGTGTCGCTTCTTTGTTGACCTGTGCTGCCAGCTGGCAAGTGCCTTTCCGGCCTCACGCTGCCCTGGAGTGCTGTTTTAACACCCCTGGGGGCCAAGTCGCCTTGAGGCAACTCCCTGCGTTCCCTGGGGTTCTCAAAACAGACAGCACCGACCCCCTAACAGGGGCCGCCAGTCGGACTGACAGCCTCACTCTTGATCCGACCTTTCCTCCCCAAACCCTCGGTGGCGGCCCTATGCTTGGGGCTTTTGGGTCGGAGGTGATCCAGGGCACTCTGGTCAACCGCCACTTCGCCGAACTCACCCACAGGTTTGCGGTTGAACACTTCACCAAACCTGGTGGGCGCGGGTGCACCCGGCCCTTTGTGTACAAACCCCTCATGCAACCGAAGGAGGGCTACCCTTGGCACGGCAGGGAGGCGGCCTGGTGGCAAAAGTTGCAACTAGCCTGGGACAACCCAGGTACCAGCGATGCCCGCTTCGCGGCCCTACGGCGGTGTTTCCCATCGTCGTGCACGGAGGCTTTGCAGGCCAAACTCGAGAGTGCCGGCATCTCTGGACCCCGTCCGGAAGATGTGATCTGCAGCGGGAAAACCAATGGGGACTCCCGTGCTGTGATCCGCGCGGTTGTCAGGAGTATGTGCCAGGCCGCCATCGAGGAGGCCAGGTCCCGTGAGACAAGGGACTACCAGGAGTGGCTGACCGGGGCCTCTGTGAAAGGCCTCCGGCCGCTTTTCCGCACGGTCAAAAAGCAGGAGGCTGAGGTTGCCCGCCCATTCGTGGACGAACCGGCTGAGGCCCGGCCCTACCTCCGACTTCAGCAGTGGGCTCGCCTCTGGGAGTCGAAGGGCCAGCCTCCTCCTCCCATCCAGGGCCTTAAAGAACGGGCCATTGCGCAAGCCCAGGGACTCCCGGCCGTCACCGGGGAGGAGTTCCAGCGGCTCATTCGTCGCCTGCCCCTGAAAGCGGCAGGTGTGGACGGCTGGTCCCTGGAACTGCTTAAAGCCTTGACCCCGGGTGAGGTTTCCTCCCTGGCCGGCCTCTTTCTGGAGGGAAATCGAAACCACGGGAGAGGTGCCACAGCAGATGACCTTTACCATCTTCACGATGCTCGCTAAAAACGAGAAGATCGAAAGACCCATTGGTCTGATGTCTTCGCTCCTTAAGCTAGGGATGAAGGCAAGATGGCACCTGGTTGAGGCGTGGCTTCGCGACTACCGCGCTGAGCTTTGGTGGGACTGCGCTCTGCCAGAGCGCTCCACCTATGATGCCTCCCTCCGGAGAGGCGTCTGCTACGAAGCCGCGCGCGTTGACGGTCTTCATCGGTGCTCTTTGTTTGTTGATGAGTACCTTTTATGAGACCGTGGTTCACTCCACTCTCTGTGACGCCGCGCTCTCTGCCGGATTCCCGGATCTTTTGCTTTTCCTTGCTATGGAATCGTATCGCGGCGGCAGAGTGATCCTTTCCGACGAAGTCGCGTCGCCCGTCGCTTTCGCTCGCCGCGGAATTATAGCGGGCTGCCCATTAGCCCCTACCCTGAGCAAACTCGCTGTGGGCGAGCCGATTCGGCAATGCTGTTCTGGGCCGCATGTCAACCACGTAGATACGTGGATAGACGACATCACGGTAGATACTGAACATCACAGCCCGGACCAAGCAGCGAACTCCGCCATCTTGGTTTTCAGACGGCTTCATGCCTCGCTCTCCGACGCCGGGTACCAGGTCTCTATCGGCAAGACCTATTTCCTGGCGAGCAGTCCCCAAGCCGAGCGCGCCCTGCGGCGGAAGTTGGGTGAGGGTGACCCCCCCATTCAGAGTGTTGCTAAAGACCTGGGCATGACGCTGTCAGCTGGCAGGAGACGGTGCACCCGCCTCTCCACTGCGCGGCGGACTAAAGCCAATGCCAGACTAGGCAAGCTACGCAGCCTTAAGGTCCGCAACATCAAGGCCAGCAGCCGGGTTTTTTCCATGTCCGTGCTGGCATCGGGGATCTGGGGACACCAGGCCCAAGGGGTGAGCCCCAAAACTATGAAATCGGTGCGACTCCAAGCAGCCGCCATCACTGGCAAGGTTGGCACGGGCAGCGTTGAAATTGCGCTGGAACTTGGCGCCTGGCTGGTCAAGGACCCCCGTGTGTCTGTGGTCACCCAGCACTTTAAGGCTCTGTGTCGGGTGATGGTTTGCCTCCCTGACCGAGCGCAGCTGGACCGCACGTGGGCGCAGCTCACTACTCAGCTCCAAAGGAAAGACAGATGGCGAGTGGTCTGTGGACCGCTGGGGGCCATGATAGCCTATCTGTTGGATCTCGGGCTTGTGGCTCCCACCCCGGACCGTTGGCTCTTCCCCGCCGACCTGTGTCCTGCTACCATGGCAGGGGTCCCGGATGACCCAGGGATGATGGCCCTCAACCCCCTTCTACGGAGGCACTGGTCCGCCATCCTCTCCTGCCTGGCCAGTGCTTGCCACAAGGCCCGGTGGAAGGCCATTAGCACCCAAACGGGCTGCAGCAGCCTGGCCTCTGGTGTGGACACAACGGTTCCCACAGCCCTTGTGAAAAAGGCCCCTCGGATTAAGTCTGCCGCCCTGAGAATGGCCTGGCAGGGTGCTTTGAAAAACAGGCATGTCCAGGCTGGCCAGCAATGCCCTCTTTGCCATGTGCCACTCACCCAGCATCACGTCGCCACGGCCTGCAGATGGTGGCGTGGTAAGGCCCCTCCCCCTCCCAAGCACTGGGAACGCCTCACCACCCAGTTCCCCTTCGACTGCTTATGAGAACGGGGCCTGATGCCGGCTCAGGCCACTCAGATCCAGGGGTACATTTGGGGCCCACAGTCAGAACGGGCCGAAGGAGTCTGCAAAGATGCCAAGTGGCCACAGGGGCTTTTCTACTCCACGGACGCCTCTGGCGGGCCCTATGCTGCCGATGCCAGGGGCAGGATAGTGGCCTGGGCCATCTGCACTTTTACCTGGACTGAGGGGGCCCCTCTCCAGGTCGGCCACCTCACAGGCCTCCTTCCCCCAGGGAGCTCTGTGTGCGAAGGGGAATGCTTCGCGGTCGCACGCCTCGCCTCGCATTTGGAGGAGCGGGCAGATTGCACTTCCGACTGCAGTGCGGTGGCCAAGCAGCAGTCACGCGCTGTAAAGCCCTGGGTCTGGGCCCAGGCCCAGGATAATGCGTCTCTGGTGCAAGTCACGTGGACCAGGTTTTACACACCACGGAGGCCGAACACGCGGCTGAATTCGGCCCTGACCAGAGTTGGCGCCGGACTATCAATGCCCAGGCCGACGCCGCGTGCGGCGAAGCTGTGCTGGCCGCCATCGCTCACTTACCACAGTGGGATCCTTCCCCTGCAGATGATTTGGCGCGAGAGGTGGCGCAACACCTCCAACGCAAAGCCGAAGTGCTACTTCTGAGTACTGACAGGCCCCCATGGGAGGCAGCCGGTGCCAGTCCGGTAAAGGGCAAGGGGCCTCCCCGCCCTGATGCCAGGCTTAAGGCGAAACAGGCCAAACCCCCTCAGAGGCAGCATCGACCTGGGGCGGACGGGGGTATAAACAAAAAACAACGCCTGGAAGCCCTCATGGCAGGGGAAGGCCACCATGGGCATCAATTCGAGTGGAGCCATACGAACCCCAACAACCACTCCCTCGTTTGTAAGGTTTGCTCCCTCTTTATCCAGCAGACCCACTCTACCGAGGCCTTTCGGCGTTTGGAGGCACAGCCGTGCGCCCCGGCCGATGCCTGCTATCGGCAGCTATGGGCTGCATGCGTCCCACTCTTTCTACTGCATGGGGGCTGTCCTCCTCTGCACCAAATGCTATGCGGTCCACAAGCCTGGGCAGCTTAACCCCACGGCTGTGGCCAAAATGCAGTGTGAGGGGGCGTCCCGCGCCCACAAAAAACGTGGCACCCAATGGGCGGTCAAATACCTCAAGGAGACGACCACCCAGGACACTCTCCAGCAGGTGATCGGACGTGCAGGGAATGACGGACCTGCTGGTTCCCAGGGGGACCGCCTTCACAATCCAGGCCCGGCTGCTGGTACTGGCGGGGCTGACAGGGTTGAGGACCCCTCCCCTCACCTACCTAGCACCCCAGGACCGTCCTCCCTTCAAGGCAAAAAGAAAAAGGGTAGGAACAACCAGCCCGCTCCGAAGGCCTTTGACCAAGGTACCCCGGATGCCACACAGGTGGCACCCAAAACTAAGGCCAAACGAGCTCTGAGCCTCCCTGCTAGACCGCCTTCGGGAGGAGGGTCGGATGTTTCCCCCCCGGCGCCGGCCGAGCCCGGCCCCACCACTCAGGCCAGCACGCGGACCTCATCGGCCAACGGCAGTGGTGTCCACGCCGCGACGGAGGCCCCGGCAGAGACCACTAGGCATCAGGGCCGAAAAAAGGAACAAACTGAGAAGAGAGAGCGGACTGTTGCGCGGACGTCTGTTAGCAGGGCCCCTAGACCCTCTGGCTCCAAGTCCCCCGCCCTAGCCCCACTTTTCTCAGTTCAAACCCAGGCCCTTGAAGCTCCTGTTTCTCATGGTGGTGTTGGGGAAGGGTTTGCTGCGCCCACCCCGAAGCCCAAGCCGAAGCCCAAGCCTGTCTCTCAACCTAAGCTCCGGCAGTTCTGGGCCCAAGGTGGGAAGCCTTAGGGAAGCCGTAGCCTTTGTGTAGGCACCTTTCCTTAAGGGCCCTTTCCCCTTTGTCTCCT